AAGTACGAGATTGGTTGCACTACCTTCAGATAAACGAGGTATTCAAACAGGACAGGAAAATAGGTTTTCAGATGGAGAGGTCGAAATTAGAAACAGAATTGTTAGAACCCAATACTAAGAACTTGTCAAGAATGTATAATTTGCTGCTGAAATGGAATACACAAGATGAAACAGTAAAATCAGCTATGATCAAATGGGCACAAGACATAGGTCATGACATTATGTTTGATGACTGGGAAAGGTTATGGAATACTGGTGTTAGATTTACGGCTTGTAATGCTTTGAGAGAAAACATAATGAAAATGATCTATAGGTGGTATATGACCCCAGTCAAACTTGCAAAAATTTACCATTTGCCCAATAATAAATGTTGGAAATGTAATGAGACTGAAGGTACTTTCTATCACCTTTGGTGGACCTGCCCGAGGATTAAAGCCTACTGGGAAATGATCTATAATGAAATTAAAAAGGTCCTTAAATGGACATTTTCTAAAAAACCAGAGGCTTTTCTCCTGGGCATGGTGGGCCAATTGGTGCCAAGGAAGGACAGAACTTTTTTCATGTATGCTACCACAGCAGCAAGAATTCTTCTGGCAAAGTATTGGAAGACGCAGCAGCTACCTACTCTGGAAGAATGGCAAGCGAAGGTGATCGACTACATGGGAATGGCAGAGATGACCGGCAGAATCCGTGACCAGGGGAGTGAGATAGTGGAAGAAGATTGGAAGAAATTCAAAATATACCTTAAAAATTGTTGTAACATTGAGGAGTGCTGAGATGCTATGGTGTTAAGAAACAGAGAATTGCAGCTGTAAATCATAAATTTAAGGGAATTATAATGAAGATGAGTTAATTAATTAAATGGAGGGTTGCTGTCAAAAGGGAAAAATAAGGATGCAGAAAAAGGGAGGTATGGGGAAGTCCGGGAAATAAGGTGAAGGAAAATGAGTTTATGAAATTATACATGTTTATTTGTTTGTATGTTTTGTTTTGTTTTATTGTTTGTTTTTATTACATGTTTGGAAAATTAATAAAAATTATTTAAAAAAAAGAAAAGAGTGAATCACGACCATTCAGTTGTGAGGTCATCAATGCATGGACAACTGTGGTCAAGCTATCTCAATTTAGGAATGTCCTCAGCTCTCTTACTAGCTGTACCTGATAAAATGTACTCCTAGCCACTGAGATCACCTGGATCTAGAATTGTCCCCTAGAAGTACTTTTCTCTCTTAATGCAAATACGCTTGAAAGCACATCAGCTTTGGCCCTATAATGCCTAAATTATCCTATAATGCTCTTCTATAAACAAAGGTATCTTCCTTTTTTTATATATATGCTTACACCCACGATTAAGATTTGAGCACTGCTCCTTTGTCGCACTTCTGTTTCCCCATTACAGTAGATCACCTTCTCTATTAATCCTAAGCATGTTAATTCTGAAGTCCCACTCAGTTGCCTGCAGGTAAGGCGACTGCCTCAGATGGCAGGATCCACATTGTTGAGTCGGAAGGGGTCCACCTGGTCCAACCCCTTGCAGTGCAGGAATCTCAACACACACGTCCCGCACCCCCATTTGAGGGGGCCGCATTGCTTGCTGTTTAACAGCAATGTGTTATTTTGCAACGTTTATCTGCAACCATTTCACGACCGTTCCTCTGTAAAGCTTCCAAATGCATTCTTGTGGTGGGGAGCAGACGCGCTTCTACTCCGCAAGGGGTCCAGACTGGGGATTCCGTTTGCACCAACGCTAGCAGCCCGTCCAGATCAGCCAACACTTCCCCACGCCCTTAGAACTTTCATAGCCGAAGCAGCGGCCACCTAGCTTTAAAATATGGAAACCCTCAATAGCGGCGCGCTTTGCACCTTCAAGTGCCCGAGAAGCAGGCCCCGCCCCGCACAACCCGGCCAGCCAATCCTGCCTCTCTCTTCGCCACGAGCCCAACTCCCGGGAAACGCGTCCCACTCCAGGAAACTGAAAGCTCCGCCCCGCCCTCCCCACGTCAAGCGCGTCGCGTCGGCGAACGGGCGTAAAGTCTCGAAGAAGCGCGCAGCCCCGCACCAACCGCCGCTCGCGAGGTTACCGTTGCCTTTCCCCCTCCCCCACGAGCAGACGCGGGGCCTCGCTGTCCCGCGCGCCGCTGGCGGGGCGAAGGGGCTGCCGGGAGTTTCTCTCGCGCGCGCCTTCCCCGCTGTGAGGGAAAGAGGACGCGGGCCTTTTTCTCCCGTCTGATTGACGGGCTCTTTCCCGCTGTATGCCGGCGACGGGGTGGCTGCTGCTGCTGAAGAGCTTCCCCGCGGGCTGCGGGTGTTTCTCGGGAGCCGGCCTCTCTCTGCCGTCGTCCAGCCTCAGCCGCCGCCGCACCTCGTCGCTTGCCGGCTTCCAGAGATGGCGTGCGAGTCTATTAGTAGGCGCGTGGTAGTGATGGCGGCTTTCAGGGAGACTTTTCCTGTCACTGGATACTGTTCCTACTACCGGCGGCGGGAGCAGCTTCTAAGTAGCCCCGCTGCTGCTGCTTCCATGCTGCACAGCCCTTCTGCAGGAGGGGCAAAAGGGAAGTCTTGACCAACTCCCCGCCTTCCTCCTCCCCTCCCTTTCCTAGCTGCCTGCAGCCGCGGGAGTATCGCGGCCACGCCGCCGCCGCCACCATGGGCTTTTTGGACAGGCTGAGGAAAGACTGGTTCATTCTCGGAATAGTCCTGGTCATCACGGTGGCCAAGCTGGAGCCGGCCTTTGGGGTGAAAGGGGGTAAGTCTGGCCGTGGGCATACCGTTGCCTCATGAAATGCGTGTCAGCCCTGCCTGGATTCCGCCTCCCCCCCCCCATGCCCAACTCGCTTGTTTGCAAACAAAGAGGAAATTGGGATTTTTAAATATATATTAAAAAGTCGGGTGTTGTGGGTATATGGAGTCCATTGCAAAATGTTGCGCTCTCCACACCGTAGCAGAACTGGAGGAAGCCCACGGCCCGAATATCTGCACCCTGCTTGGGGTTTGCTATCCGATCCCTTCTTTCTTTTGGCCGCTGCAGCCATTCTGAGGTTCAGTATAGCTTCCCTAGCGCTCCAAAACTCTTCGGCAGAGGAGCTGCGTTGACACGTTGCACACTCGGAGCGAGCGAGACGACCCAACTTCCGCGTGGTGACACCCAGCAAGCAGGAGGGGCTGAGCTCCGGGGCGGGTTGAGCAAACTTAAGTCCCAGCAACAGAAGGAGATATGTGGACTCCTTTAAAAAAATGATAATAAATTTGATAACTGCAAGCACCAAGCAGTTGCAAAAAAAAAAAAAAAAAGGGACAGGGATTTAACTCCCTCACTCCCCAAATCGCCTTTATTGTTTCCCAGCCAGTGTAGAAACTTAAAAGTACATTGACTAGCTGGAAACTCTTGTTCTGCTATTAGGCTATGTAAATGAACATGGAGAGGGGGATGTCATTCCCAGATTAGGAAATGATTGGGTTTGATGTAATCCTTGTATGCTCCCACCTTCAGAAATGTGTGTGTGCGTCAATAATTTTCACAGTAATAGTTGGTAAAACATAATCCAGAGGAGGTAGTTTTTCACATCCGTGAGGACTGAGTTAACAATGAACTTCAACAAATACACTTGTTAACAGGGAGCATCTTCCTTACTTCCACGTACTATATCCATTTCACCTGGGAAAATTACTTCTGTTGAATCTGGGATAATTACTCCTCCTCTTCCGGAGAGAATTACTTGGAATGCATGAATTATTCCCCTAGTGCAAGAACGAGCTTATAAAGCAGTTGTGTTAGTTTTGTTTTCTTCAAATTATGGGGAAGAGCAAACTTCATTACCATTGGGCCCTTTTAAAAGCAGATAAGTCCTGCACACACCACCAAAAACTGTTGTGAATAAAGCACATAGACTGCCTGTGACTCAGTAATACTGTCTGTGTCTGTTGCACAAAGAAAGAAGCTTGAATATTAAGACTCAGTTTGTGGATTTGCTAAATAGCCTTTGACATACCATAAATGTACAAGCTGTTCTTGTTCAAGTGTCAAAATGAAATATTGAGCACTGAGTCGAAAATATGAGTAGGAACATCTTCCTTTTTATTTTAAAATGTACTGGTGAGTACTTAATGCCATATCCTCTCAATTAGTGTGTGCCAGTGATGTGGGATGGAAAATTTCCAAATGCTTAACTTTTATCAGCATAAAATGTTCTGTTTCAGGAGTTCATTAGAAAAAATGAATGGGTGCCCAATTGCAAATACAGTTAAGGCAAACTAGGCAGTTTCAAAGTTTTCTTTACTAAATGCAAGTAAAATAAACTTGCTAAATTAGATCACTCCCTCGGGATGCAAACTGACATTTTTCTTATGCACGTTAGCTTAATTTCCATAGAATTCCCCCTCCCTATTATCTTATGCATGTATATATGAAAGTAAGTCCTACTCATTTTGTCCCTAATGGAGTGGCAAGATGTAAGAAGTGGATGGAGCTCTGACAAAGCTACACTTGCTGAAATATCTTCTACACAGATTTTTGTTAAAATTGTAGGATACCTGTTTTATCTTTTTCATCTGGTCACCTATCCTGCTTCCAGGTAAGCATGCATAGGACATTGCTGTCATGTTTTGAAAATGGCAGGAAACAAAAAAGCTTTGAAATTGATGCAAGGCAAATGGCTCTTTTAGCTAAACTTATATAAAATGTATAATTTGCTTGGCCTGCAGATTCAACCACTTACTTTAGCTTTTTTTGTTCTATTTATCTTCTAAATAAAAATAAAATTGTCGCCAATTTTTAGATATCCCAGAAAATATTTATTGTCTCATAGCACATGGCTTTGTAGGAAGGGCTGCTAACTTTTGTGTTGAGCTTAACAAAATTATATTTTAAATAATGCTATGAGTTTAATGCTGCAGATTTTGCTGTGGGAGTGCTCCACCCTGTTAAAGTGGTAATTTTAAACTGGACAGTGGGGCATTTTGTCACATACCTTTTCCTCTTCAGTGCATCTGAGCACATTTACTGATGTAATTCCCACTCAGTTCAGTGACTTTTTATTTTATCTGTGGTGATCCAGACTCGGCTCCTGCAGTTGCATCGGTCATATATCACTGGTCTTCTGCCATCTGTAAGCTTGACAGCCTTTCAGTAGCCAGGCTAACTAGTCTTAGGCAGTTATTCTTTCGAGGTTTTTGGCCAGCAATTGTATACAAATGTATTGAGTATTGCATTTAATCACTCTTCATTTATTAAGGAACTTTTATGTCCAGGAGACCACTTCTTTCCCTATATCTGACTGCAGGTTAAGAGCACACTTTCCAATCCAAGCCTCCATAGGCGCCCGTCACCTCTCCAGCCGGGAGAGCGCGCGCGGGGCTAAAGAAGCCCCCCGCGACCCTCTCCCGGCTGGAGATGTGACGCGCGCCTATGGCAGGAGCCTCCATAGGCGCCCGTCACCTCTCCAGCCGGGAGAGCGCGCGCGGGGCTAAAGAAACCCCCCGCGACCCTCTCCCGGCTGGAGAAGTGACGCGCGCCTATGGCAGGAACCTCCATAGACGCCCGTCACCTCTCCAGCCGGGAGAGCGCGCGCGGGGCTAAACCAGCCCCCCGCGACCCTCTCCCGGCTGGAGAAGTGACGCGCGCCTGTGGCAGGAGCCTCCATAGGCGCCCGTCACCTCTCCAGCCGGGAGAGCGCGCGCGGGGCTAAACCAGCCCCCCGCGACCCTCTCCCGGCTGGAGAAGTGACGCGCGCCTATGGCAGGAGTCTCCATAGGCGCCCGTCACCTCTCCAGCCGGGAGAGCGCGCGCGGGGCTAAAGAAGCCCCCCGCGACCCTCTCCCGGCTGGAGAAGTGACGCGCGCCTGTGGCAGGAGCCTCCATAGGCGCCCGTCACCTCTCCAGCCGGGAGAGCGCGCGCGGGGCTAAAGAAGCCATAGCCCCGCGACCCTCTCCCAGCTGGAGAAGTGACGCGTGACTATGGCAGCAGCCTCTGAAGGATGCACCGAAGCCTGGCGTGGGGGGCGGGGGCGGAGAGACCTTCTCCCCGCGGCAGCCTTCGGATGGCTGTCCTGAAGACTTGGGGTGGGAGAAGGGTTTTCCTTCCCACCGCCAACATTCAGAATGCTGTTCTGAATGTTGGCGGTGGGGAGGAAAAACCCTCCTCCCACGCAAGCCCCGGGAACAGAGGGAAAGCGCTGCGCGCCTTCCCCTCTGTTCCCGTACCTGTGCTGAAGGCTTGCGGTGGGGAGAAAAGCCCTTCTCCGCACCGCCAGCCTGGCAAGCGGTTTCCCTAGGAACGCATTAATTGATTTTCAATGCATTCCTATGGGAAACCGTGCTTCGCAAGACGAAAAACTCGCAAGAAGAAAAAACTTGCGGAACGAATTAATTTCGTCTTGCGAGGCACCACTGTATAATAAAAACCATGAAATACAAAACACAATTCTAAAAAGTAGCATTAAAACAATTAATATAAAACTGAACTAAAATCAAAGCCACAACAAAAACATTCCAGGTGTGAAACAAGGGTAAAAGCATCAGATTTAAAAGACCTGTGAGAATAAAAAGGTCTTTGCCTGGCACTGAAACATGCTGCTTATTTATTATGTGAGCCAGAAATCTCTCAAGGAACCACAAAGAGGTCTAGGTTATCTCATTTCTTCAAAACTAAAGAACAATTTTTTGTTGCTGAGAGAATGCAGTTCTTTCGCCAGTTAGCCAAACTGTGCAATTAAAAGTACTGCCCGTAATGCTGTTGCACATATAGTGTGAGGCCCTATTGGACATCATTAATGGGCGATAATGGATAAGCCCACTGTTTGCAAGCTCTTGTGTGTTAAAACTGCTCGGAAATTAGTCAGTATGGAGAAGCCCCTTACTACTTTCTCATCCCACCCACTTTCTATTCCATGTTGTGTACATCTCTTGTGAACTATAGGGCACTATATAGCTCAAGTATTCCACTACCATCATCTTTGTAGTGATTCCCATCCCCCATTCATTATGTGTGAATTTGATATTGAATTGTTGACTTTGTATTTGGACTTGCTGGATTACTCTGCAAAGATTAAAATCAATAGGAGCTGGATTTCAACTGCTTGTCCAGATATGAACCCCTATTTTCCCCTGTTGAAAATACACATTAGGACAGCACAGAATCTAACTTACAGTAATTTACAAGAAGTAATTATAAAAGCTAGGCCTTTCTTCATAGCTGGTTTTACCGGGGGGGGGGGGTTAATGTTAAAGAAGGCCTTTGCTTTTATTCTTTAGATCACAAGTCTGTTAGATTTTTGTTTCTGCAATATCCAAATCTTATTACTTCCTTGTCTTTGTCACTCCTTTGTATATGAATCATAACCCTTCATATTGATCTTGAATGCAATGACTGCACACTGGTAGAGCTGGGCTGCTTCTGCACTTCTGCTCTTAGCTATGGGAAGAGAAGAAGCCAGTAAGCTTGGTTTTAACCTCATATACCGGTAGTCTTCAGTGCGAACCACATAATCATGTGTGTGTTTGGAGGGGCCTGTAAGTCTTATGTGGAAATCAATCTTGGCTGTCTTGGTTTATTTTTGTTTATTTTTTGTATTTGTATTTTCAGGACCACTGAAACCAGAAATCACCATCACATACATAGCTGTTTCAGCTATATTCTTTAACAGTGGGCTCTCGTTGAAAACTGAGGTACTGCAAATGAATGTTAATCTTTCTCACTTTTTTTGTTGATGGGAGCATCAGGCTGCTAATGGCATAGTACCAACAGTAGTCAATATGTGCTTGTAGTTTTAGGAGACTATATGCATCAAGAGTGGGAGAAAAAGATGTAATGGATTACATCCGTACCCATAAATGACTGTCACAAGGTCCCTTATTGCTTCTGTATTAAACTTGATATTTTGCTATTAGTTTAACATGGAAATTATCTGTATGGATTGTGTTGAGTCTATATCTGCAGTCCTACAGTGGGTCATTTGCAAAGTATTTACTTGGAGTCATTTTATTGATTCAAATGGAACTTGGGTCCCAGAAAATTGTGATCAGGTGATTCTAATTTTGGTAACACAGGTTTTTCAGAGCTGATTCTGCTAGTATGGGCATGTGGCTACTAAATTGGCATTGAACCAGCATCAGCTGAACAGCCCATGTGATCTATTGAAGTTAGGTATATTTCAGAGCAGTGACACCCTGTTTTTCCCACGCTCCTAATTATGCATTGTGGCATGACCTTGGTGTGTGGGCAGCTTTTGTAAACATGTGTTTAATATCACCACTTATCTCCAGCTGCTGTAAGTTTGTTCCCAATTTATTATTTCTCCATGTGTAATCTGAGCCTCAGAATTCAAGTCCTGCAGTATTTATGTGGTAAAGTAGGCTTGGAGCCACCTTACATAACACTGGATGGCTTTTTGATAAGTCATTTTTTTTGGGGGGGGGGAATTAGAATAGCTTTAGATAACAGGATTGTTTATTTAGGGTCATAGCTTGACAAATATTGAAAATATTGTTGCACTAGGACTAGCCATTTATATACACGCACATATATGCTAGCTAGTCTTTTTCTGGGTGGAGGCAGGGCTAACCTTTGGTGAAGTCTTGCTGCTACGTAAAGCTCTAAAGCAGCCTTCCCCAACCCTGGGTCACCAGATGTTGTACTACAATTCTCATCTGACTGTTGGCCATGCTGGCTAGGGATAATGGGAGTTGGACTCAAAACACCTGGGGGCCCAAAGTTTTAGAAGACTGCTCTAAAGTCTATTATTTTTTAACATTGTAGGTACAGGTGTCACCTGTCCAGTTGTTATAATTTTTAATTTGAATGTGTATTTTACTATTAATCTAGCTTCTGCTTAGTTTTGACAGTGGGTGATTTAAAATTTGCATGCATCAGGACAGTGAAGCAAAGACCCTTTTTTACAGAATTGGAGAATAGGCTTTTTGAAGCAATATGTATCTGACATATATAATAATGATACCAACTTAAGCAATACAAAATAGAACTGACTTCAGCTGTTAAAACTGCAACCTCTTCTTCTCTTGTTGCTTTGTAGGAGCTGACAAGTGCTTTGATGCATGTGAAATTGCATCTTTTTGTCCAGATCTTCACACTTGTATTCTTCCCAACAGCAATATGGCTATTTCTTCAGCTGTTATCTATCACACCTATAAATGAATGGCTTTTAAAAGGGTATGTTTTAACATCTAAAGGGTGAAATATTTATGGCTGCTTTTCCAGAAATGTGCTTTCGGTATCATTAGGGCTGATTTTTCCCTCCTGTGTACGTGATTTTTCTGCGTACGTTCATGCTTTGACACTTGCTGTTGGAAAAAAAATATGTATGCAAAACATTACTCTTTCAAAATCTTGGTCTCATGTATCCAAAGACTTGGCAGCTAATTTTATATGTAGGGACTTACTCAGCAGATCATGCCTCTTCTTGACAAGCCTTCTGTATTGAATTTGCTAGTTTAGGTTTCAAGGAGTAAAAATGGGGGGAAATTGGTGGTAGAATAGAAGCTTAACTGTTTGAGTATGTATGAAACAGAATATGCAGCTTCACTCTCCACAGCAGGGGTGAGGAACCTTTTTTCTATGATGGTCTGTTGACCCATGGGAAAAGTCAATCAGGGGTCACAGTTGATGGCAGGCACTGCCAGGGCCAAAAGCAAGTGGAGCCGGCAAGATTACATGGTGATCTCTCTCTTTAGCTATTAGCTTCCCAGCATCTTGAATTATTTTTTCACTCTCAAATTCTGACTAAGAAAAGTCCTTTGCCATGTTGGTAATTGTTTTTCAATGCAGTATGCCCCTCCCCCATTTTATCTGTACATGCTTTCAGAGATCAAGAGCTATAGAAAATTGCAGTGTATGGATATGGCTGTCAATGTGCAGAAAAAAATATCAAGCACCATATTGCAGCATATTCAGCTAAATTCTGTAATGAAAGCAGTTCAAGTTGTATCCTTTTCTAGGAGTACTCTTTTTTTGCCTCTAAGGAATATAGCTGCTTTATTTATTTAATGCGCCAGTATGCTACCGTTCCATCTGCGTATTGCTCATGGTAGATAATAAAAGGAAAATCAGAATACAAACTGAAACATACTCAAAATACACCATGAAAACCACACACCAGTGACTGCACCAGTCATGCGTACAAGCAGTGGAAATGGAAAATGATTAAAAATCGGTTTGATCCCAAAGAGGACTTCATTGAGGGCGGAGGAAGCCCCAAAGAGACCGGAGGCGCAGCAGGGCTTTGTTAAGGCTCCTCAGACTCCCTGCCTAGTAGCTGACATGAGCAGCCCCACAACCCCAGCTGCTTTTCTGCATAGCCTTCAGCTGGCTCCAGAGCGTCAACTCTAGTTGAAGAGAGAGTTGTGTGGAGAGAGAACCTGAAAAGAGGGAGCTGGAGAGCAGGAAAAAAATGGGCGTTTAGAGACTTTTTAGAGGGTGTTCCCACTTAGGCGATTTTAGCTTATGCCTGCAGGGGCTCGGAACATAACCCCCGCACAAGTGGGGAGACACCTGTACAAATGTAAACGCTGGTGTGTAACTATTCACAAAGATAAGACCCAAATATTTAGGAACAGGATAATTTTTATTTTACTCTCCGTGAGTGAAGTGTTGAATTGCAGGTAAGCTGTTAGAAATTCAAGGCAAAACAGTTGCAAAACAAATGTGGTTTGAGGAATATTGTTTGTACATCTTCTCCCAGTAATGCTATTTAGAAGGTTTTTTAAAGTGCAAAACTGTGTGCCACTCCCTCAACTTTAACTCCAGTATGTAGAAAATATTACAGCAAATATCTCTCTTTAGGGCAATTACGTACATTTCACTCACAGGCTGTCAGTCTACCTTGTATATTATTACTGTATAAGAACATTTTATTGTTTACTTCTGGTATAATATCGCTGCCTCCTTTTTATTTCTTGGTCTCATCTTTGCCGCATAGGATATGTTTTGTTAACTCATACAATATATTGTCATGGTCGTCTTTGAGACTCTTGTCCTAACTAGGGTTCATTAATACCAAGAATGTGATCATAATGAACAGCGCTTTTCCATAAGGGAAGATCTTGTGATGCAATTCCTCTGTCCTTTCACTGTGTTCTGGTTATTATTTCTCTTCTGGCAATGTTATAGTGAGAGCAATCGTACTTGAGATTTACATGGGGTCATCAGCAGGGAGCTGGACCAGATAGCTTTTGAGATTCCTTTCAACTTTAGGATTCTTCAGCACTTTCTGACTTTGAGGTAGATCATGTTTCTGTCTCCTTTTTTGTGGGTAGAGGGCAAAGAGAGGATAGAACACATGAAACTGCCTTATACTAGGTCAGACTAATGTCAATTTCATCCAGTATTGTCTACTCTTAACTTGGTGGCCTGTTGCTTGTTCCAGGATTGAACCTGGCACCTGGAGGCAAAACATATGTTCGTCCACCGAAACAGGGGTCCTCCCCTAAGACCACTTCAGATTTCTCTCAGCACTGTTGCTAAGCCTGCTTGCAAACCACATCCTCTGAAGCAGAGAATACTTTCTCCAATTCCAGATATATGATGGATGGGGGTGGGGTATGTAATAATGAAAATTGTACTCCGCATGTGTTCAGGGGTCCTCTTGTTTCTGGAGCTGAATCTTGATACTGAAAGCAGATTCTGGGAGTGAACCTTGGTAGGTTCAAAGTAAGCTTTATATGCACATCCTCTCAGGAAGCTTCTCAAATTAATGCATGTATTACCATATCCCCAGCAGAAACAACCACTTATAATGTAAAGGCAGAAGTTCCTGAAAGCTACTCAGCTCTTTCATTCTCGGGGCTTGCCACCTTCCTAGGTTACTCCTTATCTGTACAAATTTACCAAACATTATTCACATTAAGACAGTATTCTTCAATCTTGGTTCCCCAGAAGTCATTGGACTACAATTCCCATCATCCATCAGCTGGCCTGGAAAGATGGGAGTTGTAGTCCTACAGCATCTAAGGGCCCAAGTTGAAGGACATTGCATTAAGATTTCTCTTTATAATCTGGAAGGGGTAGAAAAATGCTTTTTAAAAGAACAAACATAAATGCTTGGAAATTAAATGTATTGACTACACCTGGAAGCTAGAATTTCACCATGCATGGCACAATCACAGCGTGCAGTGAGCACCTCCTTGTTTTCCTGTGAACGGTGGGACTGGTACTCCTGCCACAGGATGTAAGAGTACATCCTGTGGTCGAAGTTATCTTAGACTTTGAGTTCAGGACCGGAAGAGATTTTAGCATGTTAGTGTAGTTCAAAGCATCTGGGAAGCTGGATTTCAATTTTCAGTGTACAGTATATTCCTTGGCTTCCGTTTTTAATAACAGTTTTCTATCTCCTTTCCTGTCATGTCTAATAGATTGCAAGCAGGGATTTTTATTTTGTATTAAAAAAATTATTGCCAAGTGCCCAGATATTTTAGACTCTGAATAAATAAAAGCAACCAAACAAAGCAGAGACAGTATGTTTACCTAGGAATGAACTGAGGCCTGACCCAGCCAAAATTTACAAGGACAAGCATCCTACAGCCGCCACTCCATGGATTATTTTCCATAACTGATGAGGGATCTTGGAACATTTTTTGAATTTAATAGATTGGTAGGTCATGCCTCAGAGCAATCTACTGCCACACACTCCATTAACATGAATAAAGTTTGAACACTTAAAGTGTTTAGGGAATTGTAGCTTATGCCTCAAGAGCCCTGCACTGAATATCATAATACTCCGATTTACAGAGGAAAAACAAAGCTTTATAACAAAGCTTCTTATCCCGTTTTGTGTAGAATGACTTCTGCAAGCTGCTCATGTATCTGTATACATCTGAAAAGGAATGAGCAGTAGACTGCAAATGGATTTATCAGAAGACCATGTGGTCTTCCTTAAAGGGAATATTTAGCTTCTTGGGCAGATACAGAAACAGCTTGTATGAGTTGCCCATTATCCCAGTCCAGATCTACTTGTGCATTACAGTTTGAGCTACTCCATTTACTTTCATGGGGCATGTAGCATATAGATACTTGCACGCTTGTGAATGGGGTAGCCTTTGTGGATTCAACTATTTTATCACAGAATTGTGAAGTTGGACAGGACCATGGCGGTCATCTAGTCCAACCCCCTGCAGTGCAGGAATCTTTTGTCCAATGTGGGGCTTAAAACTACAACCCTGAAATCAAGAGTCTCATGCTCTACCAGCTGAGCTATCATACTATCTCAGTTAAGAAAGCTATCCTGTTTTTGTATTCTAGTCACAAAACAAAGAATATTGGTATTCGTGGCTTCTGAATGTAGTGTGTAATTTTGCCCATTCTCCTTTATGGGTTGTTTTGTGATTGATCTCAATGAATATTACATTTGTATCTGTGTATGTTTTCTGCCCCTTAGTTTGCAGACAGTAGGCTGCATGCCACCTCCTGTGTCTTCAGCAGTGATTTTAACCAAAGCTGTTGGTGGAAATGAGGTGAGTTGGTTACAGTTTTGTTTTATTAATTGCTTTTTAAAAAAAATGCTTTTGTGCAAAAGTTTTCTTTCCTTAAGGTTGACTGACAGATCATGAAAATACCACTTGAGATCCCATCAAATAACAATACCTTCAAATGCAGAGGTGTCACTTTTGGTGAATATTATGAAACCTTGGGGATACATGCCCTTTAAACTTTCAAAATGCCTATCTCTTTGTGACCGTAGCTCTTTTGCAGTTGCATCAGAGCCAGGATGGATAGGCCTATTCTGACCAAATCAAGTGTCATTATAGAGTGATTATTCCCTGCAGTACAAGGATGAAGGGAGAGCAAGAGAGAAGCCCCTCTATCCTAAGGAATATCCTACTTACCTTCCCCTCCTCAAGTCAGGTAGGGAGCCTGGCAGCAGAGACCACTGGACAGGCATGGGCACACAGCCTTTTGGATCTGGAGTTTAACAGACTAAAGGGAATCTGTAGGTTTGAAGGGGAATCTGTAGGTAGGGGAAGGGGATTGGACTGTGCCACATGTCCTTAAAACTCCTTTCCTCACTGAATAGATCCCAGGTGAGGGATTGGCTTCCTCCATGTCTAGTTTTCACCCCTCATCATCTTTTTGGTGAGGGGATTACTTTCCAATCATTTCTGGGTGGTTCTATGCTAAAGGTATGTTCTGCCTTTACTAAAAATCTTTAAAGGAATCCTATTTATGACTCTCATGATGTTACGCATTTAAATCTGTACTAAATTCCTTCATTTTAATTTGTATTCAACGCACAAAAGGTGTTACTTAGTGTAAAGAATATTATATTTTTAGATCTAGTGATGCCTCCAAATCTAAAGCCTTTTCAGAAACGAAATCTTGGAGAGTCCCATGGGGCAAGGTAAATTATTGCATGTGGTGAACTCTTTAAGTCATAGGACCAAGGTCAAGGCAGTAGGAGTCTTATTTGAAAAAGCTTTTCTCTCTGCTTGGAAAGCAAATGAAACCTCTCATCATTTAACTTTAAAATTATAGCTTTAAGAAAATTTTCACTGCAGCTGAAAGATCAAGTTCATGGCAGACATAAAGGACTCGGAAGTCCTTTCTCAGATGTAACTGTGGAACAAGAGACGTTCTGATTCCCCCACCCCTCGTGCATTCTTGATGGAAAATAAAGAGTTCACAAAGATCAGAATCTTTGTAATCTACTGAATAAAATCAAAGGCTTCACAAGGCAGAAAGGAATACATTAAGTCTTAGACTGCTTTATTTTATTGAAGACAATACTTTTAAGGTAACTTTATTTCAATTAAGATTATTTGCTTAAAATGTAATGAAATAAAATGTTTTGAACATTTTATCTGTTGAACATACCTCAGTGATCTGATTTGCATGCAGAAGGTTCCAGGTTCAGTCCTCTGCATCTCCAGGTAGGGCTGAGAAAGGCTCCCTGCCTGAAACCCACAGAGAGCCACTGCCAGTCAGTGTAGGCAATACTGATTTAGATGGACCAGTGATCTGACTCTATATAACATTTCTTCCAAGGAACTCAAGGAAGTATATAGTTCTCTCCCTTTCAACCTTATCCTTAAATGAACCTGTGAGGTAGAATAGGGTGAGGGAGTGGACCAAGGTCATCCTGTCAGCATGAAGCTGAATGGGGATTTGATAAAGTAAACACTATACCACGCCATTCTGGATTCCAGCTGCTGGGTGACCTTGGGCCAGTCACACTTCTTTGAAGTCTCTCAGCCCCACTCACCTCACAGAGTGTTTGTTGTGGGGGAGGAAGGGAAAGGAGAATGTTAGCCGCTTTGAGACTCCTTAAAGGGAGTGAAAGGCGGGATATCAAATCCAAACTCTTCTTCTTCTTCTTCATCTGGCAAAGGCTCCTACATTAGCATCATAAGGTAATGCACTTGGGAGTCCTGCATTTGCATTAGGCCCTCACATGTTACCCAAGTTTGCCATCATGTATAATACCCATTTAGAAGAAATAGCCAGTTCCAGCTCTCTTAAGTGAATGTATGGCATTCACATTTTATATTTTTAGCAATGAATATAACTATATTATGTGTACTAAAAAAACACCCCACGACACTATAAGTGACAGTCAAAGTATTTTTTAAAACTACTGTCAATTTTGCAGATAACTCTAGATACTGTATCATACTGGTTTTTGATATCTGTGATAGTTTGAGTCAGAACCGGAAAAAACAAGCAAGCCATTTCTGCAGTAGTGCCATTGAAGTTTGATACTGCAGCAGAGCCACTGATTTTTCGACTTTAGCCAGAGTGGTACAATTTGTCTAGTTGGGAATGGGCACAAAGGTCATTGATGGCAACTCAGTTGCTTGATCTGTATGAATTGCCTTAAGTATCTATGCCATATCAATTACAGTGATGTCACATGCAAGTTATTACGGTTTCCATCTTCTTTTAAAGAAAGTGAAGAATTTTACTAATACTATGGAAGGCACTCACAGTGCTGTTTCGTTCTGTTCTGTTGGATAAAATTGGAAGGGCTGTATATAAATGGGAAGACAGGCAAAGTGTAAAATGCAGCCAGACCATCCATTGGACAGATAAAATGTTTATTGTGCCGATGATGAAGGTGAGGCAGCTATTGGGTGTATTGGGCATTGTTGCATAAAGGAAAACTCAAAAGGAAATGAAAAAAATGCATGAATGCTCCTTGTGCTGATCTTATCAGTGGAGAAAGCAGATGCCCATCAAATGTTTTCCAAAGTCAAGCCCGGGTTTTAGTGCATTGTTGCTTTCGTTAATTAAAAAAATTCTCAATGTTCTAATCACCCCACTATCTTCAAACTGTTTATAGTTGGGAAAGGGGAGAAAAAGAATCTTCCATACTGAATTAACAATAGTTGTGGCCTTGCAAAAGATGTTATTTAAATTTGTTCAAAAATAAGGCAAAACTGGTGTATTGAGTTTTTCTTTTAATTAGCAGGTGCCAGCTGTTCTAGGCAGAGAACACCTGTGCTACTTGAGGTATTAGGGAGTTCAGGTCCCAGTCTCTTTGCACACCAGTCAAAATTAGAAATAACGGATTCCTGTGGAGATGTGGGTTGTTAATGGCCTTAGCAGCTACTGTTCTCTTGACACATTCTCAGTCTTGAGATCTGAGGAAGTTAACTTGAGCACTTTGAAAGTGTTGGAAAACCATTGGCAAGACCAGGGGTCAGCAAACTTTTTCAGCAGGGGACCGGTCCACTGTCCCTCAGACCTTGTGGGGGGCCAGACTATATTTTGGAAAAGAAAAGAAAAAAGCATGAATTCCTATGCCCTACAAATAACCCAGAGATGCATTTTAAATAAAAGGACACATTCTACTCATGTAAAAACATGCTGATTCCCAGACCGTCCACAGGCCAGATTTAGACGGCGTTTGGGCCGGATCCAGCCCCCAGGCCTTAGTTTGCCTACCCACGGGCAAGGCGTTTGGACCACAGGTGCTTTTAGCAAAAATTTGCCCCTGCTCAAAGTGTACTGAACTCATCTTCATAGCTTCTCTTTACTGGTTGATAAAATCCATTGCCCATATCTACCAATAATTTGTAGAAGAGTTTTGAATGTAATTTAAAAAATATATAAATTAGCATTGTTGAGTGAGTGAGTAGACTCTAATGTTTTACAAAACATCCCTTTTAACACGAATATATGAGCATATGCAAATCTTAAGCTTTACTTTTGGGACACTCAATAAGTTTTAATCAAAATATAGAGGTACTGGGGTGCCAATACAATACCATATCTAATATTATTGTGGTGGGAACCCCCACCCCATCACTAAGAAACATTTCACAATTTTGGAGCTTGGGCTTGATCTCCCCCTTTTAAATGACCATAATTTTTTAAAAAACAACAACCCTGGTTTGTTTTCGTTTGTTTTTTAAAAGTTCCAATTTAACACCTCCATGGATTCTTTCACCCTATCTCCTCTTTATATAGCTGGAGTCTTGACAACCTGGTTGGAAGTGATTAGCTGGACATGAGGGAAACCTCTGCTGTGTTTTAAGAATACTGTAACAGTGGTGCAGTTAGTGGGCTTGAAGAGGTTCTTAAGATACTTCTTGTTGCCTGACCCATATCGATTTCTGGCTAGTAAGCATATGGAGTACTGTGTGGCAGTTTAGATGACAGTGCCGTTTTAGCTCTTATTATTGATGGGGCTGCTGGCTTGCCACAATTTGGGAGCAAGGATGCTATGCTTAAACAGGTGGGACAAGAATTAATCAGGGAGCCCTGCACCTGACTGGCTGTTTTGGGACCTGTTTGTGTTGTGGGGGGAAAGAGAAGTTGTATCTCGCTGACAGAAGTTGTACAGTATCTGTCTTTGTACCTTGTGAGGCAAGAAAGCTCTTGTATTCATGGATGGAGAGAGAGGAGGGAGGGAAAATTGCTTCTGGCTGCCACTGCCGGGAACCCACTTCAATATTTTTGAGTCTTTGGAGCTTACAAGGCTGCTATTATCTTATTTATCATAATGCTATAGAAAAAATAGTCTCACTAGTGAAGTGGATGTTTGAAATCCTGGCTGCAGAACAAAGGCTAAATGCTTAATCATGTGTTCTCTCAATGTTGGGTGTTTTGTTTTTTAAAAAGTATGTTGCTTTTACAGCAAAATACTTTATTTTATCCTTTACTGGAAAATGTATACTCAATATGCACAAAAATATTAATGCAATTATTCCTATTCTTGTCTTTATTTTCTTCCTATGTAAATGTGTGCAAATTTGCTGGATTTTTTTTTATTAATTACCAATTAATCTGCCTGCAACCCTAACTGGATACCATGTTAAAACAGCTACACATTTTTGTTAATGTGATCTTTCCTGTACATGATTGAATGGTGTGAACAAAGCTGTACAGGGAAGAAGGCCTGCAGTTCATACAGTTGGTACTGACTGCAGGAATGTTTGGTGAGAGAGTTTAAAATGTGTCCCCAAGCACCATCCTGCAGAGATCTTTGAGTCCATAGGACTTTTCCCAACATCTG